GGCTGGATTTACGGCTGTGAAAAGCTATCCTGTGTAGCTCGCAGGGTCATGAAGGCACGCAAGCCATCACACCACGTCAAGGTTCAGTCTCGTCGTGATGGCTTGGTAAACGTAGGCGATAACTGCATCACAAAAACTTGGTGTCTTTTTATACGAGTATACATTCTGTAAAGGAGAGTTATATCTAATGTTATAACCGTTTTACCATTGGTTCATTCAAGCGGCATACATTCCAAACAGAATTCCATAGCAGTCAAGCAAAATCGTATTTGTAAGCTACAGTAAGAGACAGTAACAATAGTTTTGGCAAATCAGTATCAAATTTACCGATACCACTTAAGGTACTTACGAGGCAGCTCAACACGCATAACGTCTACACCGCAACTACCTTGTTGGACAGCAACCAAAGTTGTGAGATCACCGCCGTGAGAAATATTGAAATCGATATTCTGATCAGCATTAGAAACGAACGGTTTGCCCATGTCTGTTCGTTCGATACAAATCATGTTCGAGGGCATGCCCAGCACACCGGATATCACGTGCCTGGTTAGAATTTTACCACACTGTAAACTGTGAGAAAGGACCAAAGAATGAAATACTTACCATGCTGCTTAAAACATCTCGTTGAAATGCGTAACGCATTGCCGTGGACTGCTCTTCTTGAGACAAACAGGACAGCGCAAAAAGAAACTCAGATTTCGATGGTGTCCAAGAGCCATGCGAAATCAATTTTCGCAAAAGAATTGCCGTCATTGAATACAATCATGGAAATCTCATTTAATTCACACCAGCGTTTATTCAGAGACGTTCAGAAACTAACTGACCATGGTGTGTAGTGCTGAAAGAAAAAATAGATACCGATGAATGTACTCATGAGAATGCTTAATTCAATTCGAGCATCCTACTGTTTCAACTAACCAACTGCAAAGGAACATTCCAACCGAGAGGGACATATACCTGATTCACGCATCAGCTAACTTCAATATTTCTCGGTGTCTAACAAACGTCTTCAAGTGCGAAGGGCAGTGGGAACTCTCCCGTATTAGCCCCATCGCATTATGCTACACTAGGCTGAGCATAATGTGTTGGGGTCTCCGTATGGTCGGTAGATTTCAAAGGTTGCGGCCAGTCACTCTTGCACCTCGCGAAATGCTCCCATACGACCAAGCATCTCAAAAAGCCTCCTCTGAGAAGGCCCTACTCACTGTCTTTTCGTGGCGGAGGTGCTTTCCAACCAAAGTGGCTACTTCAAAAGCACTGATGATGTAACCTCGACTGGTGATGATACGTTTACAAACAAACTGCTAAGCTCGGCGAACAGGCGAACTGGAATTCAGTTCACCCGAGCGACGAAAACCGATTTTCAATAATCTCCGACGTCTATACAAGAAAACTCCCTATCAACCTCCTCTCCAGCGATGTATCGACTGCTACACCTATGAGGAGATGCTACGAAGCATAGGAGCTCTGTATACCAAACCAAAAAAGAAGTCTGTGCGCCATGTATTAAGTTTCCGAGTGCGAAGCACAGTGGAAAATTCCATATTAGCCCAATCACATTGTGCACCACTGGTCTGATTAGGTGTTGATATCAGACCAGTACCCCCGCATGGCTCTGTTCAGTTTGTTTGAATATACCGTCATTTAACTCTCCTACCATGTCTTCCGGTAGCGCATTCCAGAGATTTACCACCCTCCTTGATAGACCAGAGACCAGCGACAGACCGTTTGACTGCATCTTGCGGAGCGTTAGCGCCCGTCCCCTGATGCGGTTGTTGTTCCTCAGGGGGAATTACGACTATCGTTTTGGGCCCGAGATGATGCGTCTGGTGTAAATCAGGTCGCATTAGTCTTCTGTATGTCATTGGAAACAACCTCGGTGCAATCAGTCGGTCTTTATAGCTGATACCACATAATCCCACGTGTAGCGTTGAACTCTCAGATTGGTCAAACTCAGGAGACTGTCAGACTGCTATATTCCAACTGATGGCGTATGTTGGAGGCAAACAGCAATCTGAAAGCCGTCAGGAGCAACAGATCAAACGGCGGATAGCGCTCGACATGCTCCACGCAGAAGCACAAGCCCTCTCTGTCTGTGCATGAGATTTCAGGTTGTTGGTGACGATAACTCCTCGTTCCTTAGATAACTGTCGCAGCACGATACTTCCAAGACGGTGGCCGGTGGTGAGACCATGTCCTCCAATCCTCATGTGGCCGCATATTCTGATGTTCACCGGTAAACCCCACACACCTCGACCAGTCCAACAGGGCATTTAGATCATCCTGAAGAGACACCTGGTCCTCTTTTGACCGGGGTGTATGGCGGAGTTTCAGGTCTTCAGGGTAGATTGGGCACGGGTTGCTCAACGTAGATGGTATGTGATTCAGAAAAGGTCATCATTATCATTGTACAGCGTAATACAGTGAAGTGAAATTCACTGATCACCGCCAAACTCATTGTATACAAGGTAAGTGAAAATGTGTAAGGAGGATAGGAACGGAACTAACTTTGATGGACGGGAAAAGAAAGCGAACCTCTGTGGTCAACACAGAGTACACAGTCCAACTGTCCATACACACTATTTCAAGCATTATGGTCAGATAAGAAGTGATATATATATATATATATATATATTAACATCAATCTTTACAGATACGGCCCCAAAATTAACCAGGGGTGAACGAAAAAATATAGGTACAAAAACGGGGATAATAAAACAGTCAACTTCGAGTAACAGTTTTTGTTTGTTTACTGCACGCCATTTTGAGGTTTTTCTCGTTTTTGTTTATTTTTTGATTATAGACAGGAGGTGATGCATTCGCGCCACTGACTTTGGTTCGATGCCATATCCCGCAGTGTCTCTAACCAAAGACGATCTGAATCTTTGGGGCCCCAGCCGGGGAGCCGAGAAACCCCAACGGAAGTCAGATCCGAGCACAATCTCTTTAACCCTCTGCGCCACTTCATAGCCTGCCCACCTCGTTGTTTCTTCCAGCCTAGACCGACGTCTACGAGTAGTGCACGGTGTGGCAGACGGTGCTCAGGCATTCGTAGGACGTGCCCTAGCCACCTAAGACGATGCTGTGAAATTATTTTGCCCAAAGGAAGACTATCTGGTCCCAGCACCCGTCGTCTGACTTCATCATT